CAGCCCATTCCCTGGTCCTCTTTGCAGACGACTGCTTCCACCCACCTCAGGCCGTTGAGGACTTCATCTCTTTCAGTGCCTAGGAGGAAGAGGACTCCATGTACATCTCTGCCTCTTAAGAAGGACTGGGCGGAGTCGGAGCCCGATCCGGATCGCCCCAACACTGAGGGCCCTGTAGTCCTCCATGGGGAGCTCGCCAGGGTCCTTGCCAAGGCGGTCAAGGAGCTAGACCTGAGCTGGAAGGCTCCAGAGGAACCTGTCAGGAGTAGGATTGACTCCTGGTACTTCCAGTTGGGAGTTGGCGGTGCTGAAGGTCTTTCAGGCTAAGATCCTGCAAGCCACTTATGGAGGCATTGTAAACAGCGGAAGCCATGAGAGACGTGCTTAAAGACGACGGACTCCTAAACGCGCTAATTTCTCCCTCTGGCCTCTTTGGTGACGCCGTGGAGTCAGTGATTGAGCTCAAAAGTGTGTGAAAGCTACGAGTCATCTGATGCCACGACGTGTGTCTCAGCAGCCTCCTAGATCACGCTCCTTGTCTGCACCCCGTTCTGCACAGAGAGGGTCTAAACAGCCTGCTGTGTTCTCCACGCCGACCCGTTCGGAGCCAGATGTTCGCCGTAAGCAATGGCCGGGATCCGGGAAGAGACACTACGGACCGAGGAGGAGCCCCCGCCATGATAGCAGACCATCTTCAGCTGCCAAGCCTTCATCCTGAGGGTCCTGTCAAGAGGAGGAGAGAAGAGCTCGCGGGAGGCCCAGCCTCCAGGCGATGGATGCAATGTTCTGTTTTCTGTCCATGCAATAAAAACACCTCCTCTCAAAAAGAGCTGTTTCCTTCTCATACTATGAATACTGTGTCGCTTGCCCTGCCTCAGAACAGTGCGAAGCCGCGATCTGTACCTGTTATGGCCTCCCAGTGTCACAGGGATGCTGGCAGCCCCCCGCTGCCCATGGCGGTGGGCGAGTGTCAGCCAACTTTCCCTCCACGAGCCATTTCCCCGCTAGCGCATTTAGGCTCGCTGGGGCAAGGCACCAGTCTACGCATTCAGCCACTACATCAGTTTCTAGACGCGTGGAGAGCTATTCCATGCGTTTCGCGTTGGCTGTTACACGTAATATAACATGGGTATTCTCTCCAGTTCAGACGCAGACCACCCCGCTTCAACGTCATGGTTCCATCCCTGATGTTGCCACAAAATGCCACGGTTCTGAAACAGGAAGTTCTCAGTCTGCTCGCAAAAGGAGCGATAGAGCATGTCCCTCCAAGCGAGCTGCAAAGCGGGTTATACAGCCGCTATTTTGTGGTGCCCAAGAGAGATGGGGGGCTCGGTCCAATACTGGACCTGAGGCCCATCAACTGAGCGCTTCAAAAGCGTGTGTTCAGGATGACGACCCTGAAGCAGATCCTGGTACAAATTCATCCTGGGGACTGGTTTGCATCCATGGATCTGAAGGACACATACTTCCATATTCAGATTGCGACATGCCACAGGCGCTTCCTGAGATTCTCATTTGAGGGCACAGCATACTAGTATTCAGTTCTTCCATTCGGGCTTTAGCACCGAGCATGTTTTCAAAGTGCATATTTGCAGCGCTTTCCCCCCTCAGAGCGAGTGGTATGCGCATTCTAAATTATCTGGACGACTGACTGATTTCAGCCCATTTAAAAGATGTGCTTATCAGTCATATGGACACGCTGCTTCGTCATCTGGAGTCCCTGGGACTGTGTGTGAATAAGTGTAGAGAAATTGGGCATACTTTCGAAGAATGTCCCAATGGCAGGAGCAGGTTTGGTAGTACTGGGGGATAGTGTGTGGGGGTATTAAAAAGAAAAATAATTTAATCATAAAATGTAACTTTGTTTTCAAAGTGCATATTTGCAGCGCTTTCCCCCCTCAGAGCGAGTGGTATGTGCATTCTAAATTATCTGGACGACTGACTGATTTCGGCCCATTTAAGAGATGTGCTTATCAGTCATATGGACACGCTGCTTCGCTATCTGGAGTCCCTGGGACTGTGTGTGAATGTACAGAAGAGCGTGTTCACCCCAACTCAATCTATCACATGTGTTTTGACTTGGTGAAGATGCGAGAGCGCATAGACACCCTCTCTGCAGCTCTGAACCAGTTCAGACCGGGTCAGTCTGTTCCTCTGAGGGAATTCCAGAGGTTCCTGGGACTTATGGCGTTGACGTCATCAGTTTGTCACCAGGGCCTTCTGCACATGAGGCCGCCACAGTTGTGGCTGAAAGATCGAGTCCCGTGGATAGCATGGACTGTGGGACATATCAAGGTCACACAAAGCTACATCAGCGCTCTGAGACCGTGGTGCAACCCAGAATGTTCAGCAGGGGGATTCCCCTAGGGCTGGTGACAGCGCACACTGTGGTAACGACGGATGCGTCAACCACAGGCTGAGAAGCAGTGTGCCAGGGCATTCCAACTTCAGGCCTGTGGTCAGAATCTCAGAGCACATAAACCGCTGAAGGCGCTATCCTTAGCTGTAATGGCCATTCTGCCGCAGTTGGAGCAGCGGCATGTGCTGATTTGCACTGACAACATGTCTGTGGTTTCGTACATAAATCGCCAGGGCAGTGTGTGCTCCAGAGCCTTTTTCAAGCAGGGTACAAATCTTTTATTATGGTCATTTACTCTCTATCAGAGCAGCACATATCCCCGGTCTCCTAAACTGCGGAGCGGACATGTTCTCGAAGGAACAGAATTCCTCACAGAGAGTGGAGGCTGCATCCCCGCTTGGTCCGGATGATTTGGGATTGCTTTGGGAAGGCAGAGGTGGATCTGTTTGCGACGAGCGAGAACACACACTGTCCAATGTTCTTTTCGCTGTCCCACTCCCCATTTTTTTTTTTGCCTCTGGTATTATGCAAAATCAGGGAAGAGAAGGCATCAGTGATCCTCATTGCCCTGAACTGGCCGAATCAACCTTGTTTTCCGGACCTCAGGGAGATGCTGGTGGCTCCGCCTTGGCAGATTCCCCTCAGAAAGGACCTACTGTCTCAAGCGGACGGCTCGATATGGCAGCTGTGGAGCCTGCACGTGTGGCTACTTCAGGGATCCTAGAGGAGCTAAGCCTCTCCGTGTGATTGACACGATCTCGGAGTATTTTGCACCCTCTACTAGGTGTTAGTATGCACTTAAATGGGGAGTGTTTATTAAATGGTGCTGTGATGAAGATATCGACCCACCGAGCTGCCCCGTGTCAGATGTTCTACATTTTCTGCAGCACAAGCTCGATAACGTGAGCCTGCCATCAACGCTAAAGGTTTATGTGGCCGCTATTGCTTCGTTTCGTTTCCCGATTGATGGGCAATCGATTGGGAAGCACGCGCTGGTGGTCAGATTTCTCAGGGGAGCAAGGAGATAACATCCCCTATGCCCTCCTTCAGTGCAGCCGTGGGACCAAGCACTGGTATTGAAAGCTCTTTCTCTACCCCCGTTTGAGCCCCTGGATTCTGTTGCTATGAGGGACCTTTCCCTCAAAACTGCTCTGCTTCTTGCCCTTGCTTCGGCTAAGCGCATAGGAGATTTGCGCATGCTCTCAGTGGATGAGAATTGCAATCGTTTTGGACCTGGTCACTGCAGTGTTACTCTCCGGCCTCTGCTTAAATATATCTCTACTCCTTTTAAGGTGCAGGTCAATTCTTTGCCCGCTTGTCTGCTAAGCCGTTGACCTCTCATGATGCTCTCATAAATACTTTATCTAGATCAAGTGAGGGGTGTACTCACTTTTGTGAGATACTGTATATATATATATATATATATATATATATATATACACAAGGTGAATTTAAACACAACTCTTTAGATCAAAATATTTTAGATCATTCAGTCAAGTGTAATCAAACTGTTTCCTGGTATTACATTATAAAAAGTAGTATTTTGCTATAATAAAAAGATATTATAGAGACCTAAGATGCATAATAGATAGATCATAACTGCAATAATGTCTAACTTGGTGGACTAATTAAAACTTAATACAAATGAATTTATTACAGACTCACGGCTGTATGTTGGTGACTGTGTTGTCAATTGGGAAGGAGACACCATCTGTGGGGTTCAAAGTTAAAATGATTTGGCAAGAAGTTGGAGCTACAATGATAAAGCATTTACATTATTTATTTCTATGCTGTACAAAAGTTAACTGTGCATCAATCAGGAATCCAGTCAAAGCTGAAATCATGGGTTTAGTGCTCACCGAGGGTGCTGGGAAGAGATGGGCATTGCTGATGCTGCGGTAGGCTTTTAGAGTAAAGGCCTGTCCCAGGACGGAGAGGGCTCAGCATTGGCTGAGGGGTGTAGGGTGGGGGATGAAAACTAGGGCTCAGTGGGTGGTCTGTCAGATAGTTTGGCGAGCGCAGCTGGCTGGGGTAACCGCCCGTGCCACAGCTTCTCTGCAAACCCTGGGTATCCTTATTATTGGTGCATTGTGGAGAAGATAGTCGAGGCAGAGTTGGACTGGGGATGATGAGGCAGTTTAAAGGGTCAAGACGACGAGACGTCTTAGCTGCACCTTTACGAGTCTGTGACCTCTCGGCCTAGGAAAGACAGAAACATTGAACTTTGAACAATGATAAGTCATCTTGGCATATCCACTGTATATTGATATTATATTGTTATCTACTACAACATTACTTGATGTGTAGAGGCTTGGGGGCCTAAAACATTTGTCACAGCGACTGGTACAGACACAGGCATGATCAGTGGGGACAGGTTTGTTCCTTTGGACTTTTGTCCTGAAGCCCCCTGCTGTCCTTCATTCTGTAACAAAAAAAATAGATAAGATAAAGTGTCAGTGCAAGTATTGTGCTTATTTTCATATTTTTTGATTGTCCAGGGTTCCCACTCTTTCATGAACACCAGATTCAAGGACTTTCAAGGACTTTTTAAAGCACCATTTATTTTATATCAAGCACCTATCAAATTCACACCCCAGCATATGTAGTGTCATGAAAGACCTTACATTACTTAACATTTCACCACTTACACTTAACATTTACATGAAACAGTTCAGAGTAATAATGTTTTGAATGTGTAGGTTTCATAAATTTAGACCATTTTGAGCAGTTGTGTTCAAAGGAATTTAATGAAATCCATTGAAGTCAGTACTGGTAATATTCAAATTAAATTTCTAAAATATTGATAAAATATGCATCAAACTGGTTTTTGCTGTAGTTCTTTTACTAGATTTAAATTTGAAAGAATTTCTTAATTTTTAAATTAATAAAAAGTGGTTAAATGTAATAACATGGTAAAAGCTGATAACATTAAAAATGTGCACATTCACTCAAAAGATACGTTACTCATTAATACATAATAAACTCAAGTCAAAAT